CTGCAAATTCAATAAGCACATTCTCGATTTTGTTATCCAAGCCAAAACAAGGAACTTACTTGATAAATCCTTTCAGCTGAACAGTGAACCACTGTAAAGTTCCCTGGCAGTGGTTTTCCAGGCAGTTTTGTATTAATTTTACAGTATCTGAGAAAACAGTTTTCTCCTTGCACTGTGGACTGTAGGTCTTTTGTAGGAAGGGATTGAGGGGTCTCAAGAAGCCCTTATTTCACACTTTCTAAACTTAGAGAAGTACCGTAAAAACAGCACAGTCACACTTGCTCAAAATCATGACGAGTTCCTCTTGCAGGAATAAGAAGGATGCAGTAACAGGATGTGAGAGCTTAGAGCAGCTCCAGAAGGGTTAACTACCCCTGATTGCTGGGGTGCGGCAGGAAATGTTTACACAAAACTGGAATTAACTGGAATTAGCTCTTCTTTCACTTTGAAAGAAATCAAGGCGCCCCAAAGGGCACGGCACTAATGTTTGAGTAACTGGGCTGGACTGTGCTTCTCAAGCCAACCTCTGAGAAATCATGAGCGTAACAAGCCTTAACAAAGGCAAGGTGTACAGTGTCTGCTGCTTCTCCTCATCCCCTGGAGTGCTAACTCACCTGAGAGGGAAGTCAGATTAGCTGGGCACAGCTCATGCCTTGGTTGTTTTCTTCTAGGTGTTTATAAGCAATGCATTTGTTTCAGTATTCTCCTAGGAAATAAAGGGAGGTTGACTGGTCTGTAACTCCCTTGACTTTTTTTTCCTCCTGTCACACCCTGAACTTTTGCTGAAAGAGCAGTTTGTTCTGATCCAGAAACATGGTGGGCTGTGCCAACCTTCCCGTCACCATCTCCAGGTGCTCACCTTGAACCTGCTGGACTATTGCTGCACGGTGCCACCCTGCAGCCCTCGTCAGCCTGAAGGAAAACGCCCCAACTACACAGATTCAGGCAACATTATTTACTCACGGGAACTGTAGGATGAGCTAGGGAACTGTAGGATGAGCTAGGGCTATCATAAATTACATCTCCTTATTATGAGACTCTGCAGAAATATTACAGCATTGTATTACAAATTGAGCAGATCAATCTTCAGTCACGAAAGCTGCATTCAACCAGACTGTAACCCCAAACCAGCATTACGCATCTGAGACAACCTATTTAGCTGGTGGGAACATTTGGATATCAGGATGAACAGGTACTTTGTGTATCTTCCTGAAAACTCAACTGGCTCCAGCTGTGCTTGGGGAGGACTCAGTGATGGGCCAGGTGCCTGCCCAAACCTCCTCAGAGCTTGCACCGAACCTCACGGGGAGGCTCCCAGCACCGCTACCCTCCAGAAAAGTTTGACTCACATTTCAGAAAAACCATCACCGCCTCCATAGGGCTTTGTGGAGTAATCTTACAAAGCCTAAGGTCTACATTTCATGGAGGACACATTGGCTAGCCGAGTGCAATTTCGTAGGAGGAGACTGGTGTTGCTCAACAGGGGAAGGACGCAAGTGCCAGCAGATATGCTGACCCGTGCCCAGGAAGCACCTTCCCAAATAAGGCTGTGAAGCTCCTGCACGCAGAGAAGTTCCCAAGGCACAGCCAGCTGCTCCTTGAACACGGGAGGAACTCAAGTGTCTCACAAGAAAGTGAAAAGACAGAACATCACCCCTCAGAAGAAAACCCACATGCCAGGAGAGGCACATGACTAAACTTCCTTCAAGAGGCACACGCTAAATTTACAATGAAGAAAACTTCCCAATCAGCTTCATGATTTAGAGGTGCCTTCTCACAAAGTGAAAGCTTCCAAATAACAATTGTATGACAATTCAAGACTGGAAGCCAAAAGCCTGCTTTAAATATTATTTGCTGTTGGTTTACTCTTCCCTTCCTCCTCTCTCCCCAAATCCAACCTAATAGAATGCAAATAAATGCTGGCCCCCAAGGTCCTCTCTGCTTTTCTCGGGAGAGACATGACTTGAGTTCCTGGAACTACAACTGCTTGTGTTTACACACCTCCCACTAATGCCCTGGCATTCACTCTGCACGTAAGCTCTGCAGAGCTCCCACAACCTCTCAGGACACAGCGAGTGTTTGCAGAGCACATCGGGCAGCAGCAGAGGAAAACCACATCTGGTGGCAGCACTGAACCCAATTCCGACTCGCAGAGCCTGGTGTGATTTATGCTCCCTTCCCAGAACATGGCTGTGGGAAAGCGTAACGCTTGGAACTCCGAGCGGATGCCACAAATTCCTTCTGGCTCATCCTGCAAGCCGTGTTTTGTAAACTCCAGAGCTGAACAGAAGCTAAACCAGGCTTTTCAGACTGAAGGGCATCCCGGTACACCTGGAGCACGGCTTCCTGATTCCTCCCACCAGATGTGGCATTTCACCAAACAGAATCGATTTTGATGGGGATCTTTTTGGAGGGAATCGCAGCATCAGCTCTAGATTCCAGCTGGGAACTGCCGAGACATGCAGAAGACCAGGAGAACAGCAAGAAATACTGCTGCTCCAGGCAGCTGGTGGGTGCGGTTTGTAAATCCTTAGAAGCAGCCGTCACAGAGGGCGTATTTATTTCTAAAACTGCAGTCTGCTTCTGGCATCTCCTCAGTAATTCCTGTAACAGGTCTGTTATCCAAGGGAGATGAACTGATAACAGACCAGCCAGCAGCAAGTGCCACAGCCTGCTGGAGGCTTTGGCTCCAAAAACATAACAACATAGTTTCACATGCTGTGGCTGTAGCACATCCTTGACGCTCAAACGCATTTTCTCCCAGTTGAGTTTAGGTCTGAGCATCACAGCGCCTGCCACAAAACTAGTCCAGTGTTGACAGAAAGGATGCAACATGACTGAGGACGCATGAGTGACAGACATCTGTCTAACTTGTATTTTACCTTGCATATGGCCCCAGCCTGTCACACAAGAGTGGAGTATCCAGCCCTTAGAGCAAGCCATTACATCACCTAACGGTAATTAAGTCCTGTCCGCATGCAGCCTGGCCTATGCCAAAGTGCAGTCTGGAGCTTCTGCAGAATATTAGAGCAGCTACAGGTTGAATCAGACACAGGGGATTTCACTCCTGGTTTATTTAATCCTAACCCAAGCAACCAGCTCACCGGATGATAACATTACACATATCTGATGGGCATCAACTGTGTCCAGTGCTAGCACGACCGAGAAGCCAGGTGACGTGCTCGTAACGAAGCAGCAGTTGGATATGACGGATGAGAAGGGTGCCCTGCCCCAGCGGGATGCTCATACCCAGCTCCCCCTCCCCAGAAAACCCAACCTGCTCCCCAGAAACAGGACAGCTTCTTGGTAATCCAAGCTAAGGGCTGTTGGCAGGGGCCCAGAGCCCGGCAGCCTCGCCGGTGCCACTGCCTGACATCATCCAAAAGCAGCAGCGGCACCGGGGCGTGCCGCTGGCACCACAACCTCGCCCACCGCTCTCGGCGCTGCAGGGACCCCAACCCGGGAGACCCCGGGGGCCGTGGAGCAGGGAGCTGCCTGCCCCCCCCAAGGCACCCACTTGGCAGGGGCACCCCCAGCACCCCAGTGCCCACCCACAGCAGAACACCCCCCATCCCACCGAATAACACCGCAAGGTCCCCTCATGACAGGGACACCCCCCCTCAGTGACCCCTCAAGGAAGAATCACCCGCCACAACATCCCAGAGCCCCTTCAGGGGACTCCTCCCCCCCCGCCTCCCCCCAAATCAGAGGGCACCCTGCAGCAGGCACCCCCAAACACACACCCCAGATCCCACACTCCTCCCCCAGGCAGGGCCTCCCATTCCTCAACCACCTCCCAGGGTCCCCCCAAGGCAGGGACCCTTCCCAGAGCCCCTCCATAACAGGGACACCCACCCCATCGCAGTGCCAGTAACCCAAAACCCCCTTAGGTCAGGAACAGCCCCCCCCCCCCCCCAGATTCCATGACAGACCCCTCGAAACCCTGAGAGTCCCCTCACAGCCAGGGCCCCCCCCCATTCCCACGGGGACCCCCTCCTAGCAGACCCCATTACAGAGACACCCCGTCCAACCCACTCGGGGTCCCCTCATGACAGGGGCTCCTCCACCCCCCCCCCCCAGCCCCTGAGAGGCTCCGGCCGTACCTGACACCACCAGCGCCTCGTTGGGCCCCACCGTGTGGCAGTTGCCCATCGCGCCCACGACGCTGCCCCCGCGCCCACCGCCGCCTGCCCGCCCGCTCCCACAACCCCCCGCGCGCAGCCCCGCCCGCCCGAGCGGCTGCACGGGCGCGGCCGCGGCGGCCAGCGGGCGCCGCCATGTTGGGAAGGTGGGCGCCGCCATGTTGGGAAGGTGGGCGCCGCCATGTTGGGAAGGTCCGGCGCCGCGCCGCACCCCGGGGGCGGAGCCGAGCGCCCCGCGCCGACGCCATGTTGGCGTGCCGCGTGTCTGCGCGGGCGGCCACGTGGGGCGCGCGCGCCGGTGTGCAAGGCGGGGGGGGGGTGGGTGTGCATTGCAGCGCGTGCATGTGTGTGCAAGGCTGAAGGGGCGCGCGTGTGCACTGCGGCGTGCGTATGAGAGTGCAAGGCGAGGGCTGTGTGTGTGCGCGCGTTCCAGCGTGGGCGTGCAACGCCGGGGTGTGGGTGTGCGCACTGCAGCGCGTGCATGGGTGTGCAAGGCGGGGGAGGGGGGGGGGGGCGTGTGTGCATGTGCAAGGCGAGGCGCTCACGCTGCAGTGTGTGTGTGTGGGGGGGGTGCGTGTGCACACGCGTGGGCTGTGCCGCCCTGCTGTGCACGTGTGTCTTTGCAAGGCGGGGTGCGCTGCGCTGCAGCGTGCACGCACGCCCGTTGCATGGCGGGGGGGGGGGGGGGGTGACACCCCCTGCACCGTTGCTGCAGCCCAGGCACGCTGTGAGCACCCAGCCAAGTCTCCCACCCCCCCAACCACAGCCACTGCCCCCCAAAACCCACCGCGGGGGCCGCGCTCTGCCTCGCCCCGACGGCTCCATTTTGCCGGCGCAGGAGCTGACGTGGCACCTTCCTCCCTTCCGCCACCCTTGCTTTTATTGCAGGGGCGCAGGCGAGGGGCTTCCCCCGGCCCTCCCCAGCCCCACCAGCCTCTCGCTGGCCTCCCAGAGCGCCCGGGCTAGCTGGTCATCGCGGCCCGGTGGCCACGGCTCCTGGAGGCGGCAGTCGGCGAAGTAGCGGCCGCTGAAGCGCTCGAGGCCGTCCCGCGTGGCGCAGTGCAAGGAGGTCTGCGCGCCTTCGGCCGCGTCGAGGAAGAAGAGCCAGACCAGGGGCAGGAAAAGCGGCTTCAGCCAGAGCGGCGCGTGGCGGAAGAGCTCCGTGTTGACGAACCCTGCGGCGAAGGGAAGCGCCCGTGTCGCGGCCCCCCCGCTGCGAAGGGCCCACGCGGGATGGGGTTTGCAAGGAATGGGGGTGGCTGCAGCGGGGTGGGCTTTGCAGGGTCAGCTGAGCTGTGGGATGTTCCCTGGGGATGCTGCCGGCACGTGGCAACCTTGCACGGAGCAACGGTGCTCCGTGCAAAAAAAGAATGGTCCGTGCGAAAAAAAAAAAAAAAAAAGCACCCCGTGGCGAGGGTGCGCTGTGCAAAGGGATGCAGCGTGCCGAGAGACACGCTGCGCAAAGGGGTGTTTTCGTGGAGAGGGATGCCACGCGGAGGGATACGCCCTGCAAAGAGCCGCCGTGCTGCGGGGCGTTGCAGGCCAAGGCTGCATGGTGCAAAACGTGCACCGTGCAAGGGGGGGGCGTTGTGCAAAGGTTGCACCACGCGGACGGGCGTTCCCTGCAAAGGGAGGTGCCGCGCAAAGGGGGCTCTGCGCAAAGAAGGGGGCTCTGCTCAAAGGGGGCTCTGCGCAAAGAAGGGGGCTCTGTGCAAAGGGGGCTCTGTGCAAAGAAGGGGGCTCTGCTCAAAGGGGGCTCTGTGCAAAGAAGGGGGCTCTGTGCAAAGGGGGCTCTGTGCAAAGAAGGGGGCTCTGCTCAAAGGGGGCTCTGCGCAAAGAAGGGGGCTCTGCGCAAAGGGGGCTCTGCGCAAAGAAGGGGGCTCTGCGCAAAGGGGGCTCTGCGCAAAGAAGGGGGCTCTGCGCAAAGGGGATGCGCCACGTGCGGGGATTCTCTGTGCAAAGGCTGCGGCCGCGTAGCGTGCAAAGCTCTTTCCGAAGCCCGTGCTGGGGCAGAGCACACCCCACACTGAGGGACACCCCACACAAATCCTGAGCCCACCCTCCCCACCTCCGGGCCGCAGAGCCGGGTCCCTACCTGGGTGCACAGCGTAGCACGTCACCTGGGTGCCCCGCAGCCGGGTGGCCAGCTCGCGGGCGTGCAGCACGTTGGCCAGTTTGCTGTCGCAGTAGTCCTGGAAGGTCGACAGCGGCCCCGGGGGCGGGGGGTGACCCAGGGTTTCGGGGCGCAGGCGGCCGGCGCAGTGGGCGCGGGAGGCGACGATGACGACGCGGCTGGGCCCGCAGCTCCGCAGCCGCTCCAGCAGCAGCTGGGTGAGGAGGAAATGGCCGAGGTGGTTCACCTGGAAGGAGAGGCTGAAGCCGTCCTCCGTCGTGCCCCCGGCGCTCACCCCTGCGAAAGAAGCAATGGCAGCCCACGGTGGGTGCCCTGGGGGGGTGCAGCGGGGGGGGGGGGTGTGTGTGTGTGTGTGTGGGGGGGTCCCGGTGCTCACCCGCGTTGTTGATGAGGAGGTGCAGGTGGGGCTCCTGGCGCAGGAAGGCGCTGGCGAAGGCTCGCACCGAGCGCAGGCTGGCCAGGTCCAGCTGCATGAACAGCACCTCCGGGTTCCCCGTCTCCTGTGGGCACATCTGGGGTGGGGGCGGCCCGGGGGGGGGGGGCACCCTGTCCTGGGGTGGGGGCTGGATCCGGGCAGGGGGCGGATGTGCTGGGGGTTGGATCTGGCCCAGGGTGAGGGGGGATTTTGGGTGCCCTGGGGTTGAGATGGGCTGGGGGTGCCCTGTGCCACGGGTGGGGGGGGGGAGCCATGCCTTGGGGGTGTCCCAGGGTGTGCTCTATGCCATGGGGGGGTTTTGGGGGTGTCCCAGGGATGCGCTACATGCCATGGGGGTGTCCTTGGGGTGCCTATGGGATGCCCAGGGATGTCCCATGGGAGTGCTGGGGGGGGGGGGGGGAATGCCTTGGGGGTGTCCTGGGGGTGCCCACCTCACATCCAGGGATGTCCTATGGGAATGCTGGAAGAGGGGGGTGTGGGTGTTTCCTGGGGGTCCCCCGAGGGTGGCCGGGTATGTCCCACGGGGGGGGGTCCTGGAGGTGCCAGGGATGTCCCATGGGAGTGCTGGGGGGGGGCGTGGGGGGTGGTGTTTTTCCTGGGGGTGTCCACGTCACATCCAGGGATGTCCCATGGGAGTGCTGGGGCGGGGGGGGGGGGTGGGGGGTGGGCGTGTGTGTGCGTGTGTGTTTCCTGGGAGTGTCCCCCAAGGGTGCCCAGGGCCGACCCCCCGGGGGTGCCCACGGAGATGCCCATGTCCTATCCAGGGGTGTCCCACGGGAGTGCTGGGGGGGTGCATCTTGGGGGTCCCCAGGTGATACCCAGGGATGTCCCGTGAGAATGCTGAGGGGGGGGGATGGGTGCCTTGGGGGGGGGGGGGGGGGGGGGGGGGGGGTGTCCCTGGGGGGGTGCCGGTACCGCGGCCCTCACCGTGCGGATGCGGCGGGCGGCAGCCTCCCCCCGCGGGGCGTTACGGGCCGCCAGCACGACGCGGGCCCCGCAGCGCGCCAGCTCCAGCGCCGTGGCCGCCCCGATGCCGCCGCTTCCCCCTGCGGAACCGGAGCAGAACGCGCCGCCGGTGAGCCCGTCGTTCCCGGTAAAGGTGGGGGGGGACGGGGACGGACACACGGACAGCGTGCCCGGCGCTCACCGGTGACGATGGCGGTGCGGCCGCGGAGCGGGGTGCGGGGCGGCGGGGAGCGGCGCCGCCCGCGGCGGAGCAGCGTGTAAACGGCCAGCAGCAGCGCGGCGCCCAGCAGCGCCCACCCCATCCCGCGGGCCCGGGCCCGATTCCCCCGGGGGCGGGGAGGGGGAAGGACGGGGAAGCGAAAGGGCCGAGCCGCTCCTTTCGTAACCGGAACGGGGCGGGTTGCAAAGGTCTTTGTCGGCGGGGAAGGTGAATTCGCGGGTGGGAGGAGACGAGGCTCCTGCCTCCAACCTGCGAGCCCCGAGGGCACCCCCAGACCCCCCCCCCCCCCCCCCCCCCCCGTCCGTGGAAACGTGCAGCGTCAAGGTTGGGCCCCAGGGAGGGGAAGGTGCTCCTCGCCCAGGGCTCTGGGGCTAGATCCCCTCTCTCCACCCCAAACCCTCCCACGACCTCCCAGTTCCCATCCCGGCCCCCCCCCCAGCCTCCTCCCCCGGTCCCCACGCAGGACAGCAGGCTGCCTCCCTCCTGGCACAGCCCCGACCCGCAGCTCGGGCTCCTCGTCTGCAGTCAAACACGCTGGGGAAAGCTCCAGGTTGTGGTGACAAGAGTGAAGACAAGACAGGCAGAAAACAGAATGTGAAGTATTTTTTTTTTATATACAGAATACAGGAAAGTTTCTGTAAAGTCTAAAACGTTACAATTACTATGTACAGTGGAACTAGCTGTTCTGCTGCGGGGAGGTGGCATATAAACAAAAGAGACAGACAGGTTACGACAAACGATCTGCTACAATAGACAATTTGAGGAACGTCATACCACATGTAGCACTGTACACAGCTTTAAAACATTGAAAAATGCCATCACTGATGTATTTACACAGAATCCAACACTTTTCCTTATTTGAAATAAAAAATAGGATGGACACCAGGAAAAGAACTCATTTCTCACTGCCCATAATACACAGTAGCTACTTGTAGTGCAACCATAGCAGGGAGGGATGGGAAAAATAACTGTGGGAAGAAGAGCGCTTCTTTACATTAAATAAAACAATGATATTGTATAGATTTGCTGTATGAAAACTGTATTTCTCTTTTAATATAAAACTATTGTCACTGGCACAAAATAGAACAAGTTTCTGATTATTTTACAACTGCATGGGAACTATCTGTCAGGGAGAGTCCTCGAGTCAGACAACGGTTGCCCCTCGCTCTGACGCGTCCTGCTCTCACTGCAGTTTTCCTTTTAAAATGAAATGTATAGTACAAATATATGTGCAAATGCCCCTAAAACTTGAGCAAAAAAGAAAAATTAAAAAAAGTTAAACGTTCTTCATTTCATGCAAACGGCGTGTGAACAGTCTCTGGGCCGACACAGAAAAATCCCACCTCGGTTTGTACATTTTTGCATTGCAAGAGTCTGAGGGCGTTTTTCCTTATTCCAAAGCTCTCTTCCTAAAATTCCTAGGGAACTGAGTTGGACCGCAGCACGGGCACCTGGTGGGGTTTCAGAGAAAGCTTCTCCTCCAAGTCCATGTCTTGTACTAAGGCAGTGTCCCCCTTGGGCTGTTTGGTCGCAAATTCGGTAATGCTGAAAACAAACTGGAGGCAGCCCAGCTTGATGTAACTGCCGTGGTGGAGCAGGGCTGTCCCCTCCCAGCCAGCCCCGCTGCCCCCTATTAAGCTGGAGCTGCTGGCTTTGCAGTTACAGGGTTTCCGATGCTGCCCTTGTGCCTGCGAATTCATCACAGCGGCTTCTTCATGCGGCTCCTCTTCTTGTTTTCTGCTTTTATGTCGTTCTGGGAAAGAAAAAAAAACAAAAAACAAAAAACAAAACAAACATGTTAAGATTGGGGCAGGCCAGCGGCAGCTTGTTCTTCATCAAGGGGCTGCTGCTGAGGTGTCTCAGGGGTGAGATTCTTGCGCCATGAGGTCAGTCAGTCATCTGGTAAAAGGGAAACGGGAATCTCCCCACAGTCCTGGGGAGACAGAGGCATTTTCACATGTGTTTTGGCAGCCAAAAAAAAAAAAAGAGAAAGGGGGTCAGGTGGAGAACAGGAGTAAGCCATGTGGGGATGGGATGCCTGGAGCACAGTCCCGATTGCCTACTCAGAGCTGGGGAGGACGTGCACGGGGAAACCCCTCAGTCCAGCTCAGAACCAGCTGCTTGCCAGAGCTGATGCCAGGCAGGGACCTGGAGCGTGGTTAACTCCAGCAGCAGAGGCAGGAGCGGTTACCAGCGGAGGCTGAGGCACTTCCCAGGCCCGCAGGGAAAGGTCTTGTGTAACCCAGGCTGAGGCCTGGGGAGAGCCTCCTGCTTGTGCAAGAGGCCCACCGACCGCCGCAGAACAAAAGGCACCAACAACGAACTGATTTGCACCAGCTCCTGTCCCCCTGTAATAGCTCCCCGCTGTGTTTACGTGGGGCTGGCGCTGTCTTGACACTCACTTATCACACTCTGCACTTTGGCAACAATACTGCTGGGGGGAGTGGGCGTCATCTTCTCCGAGAAGTCACATGAATACAGAACGTTGTCCACGGTCGTCCCATGCTCACTGTAGTTCAACAGCTCATAATGTTTCGTATTCTGAAAAAAAAAAAAAAAAAGGAAGGAGGAGGAATTGAGACATCAACTCAGAAGGGCTTCTGCCTGTATACCCCTGTGGAGCACTGAAACACAAACCCTCTCCCTACCACTGCCGTTGGTTAAATAGGAGCTGTTAAATATCCTCCAGCTTCAGAGACCACCAACCCGACCCTCGTGCACAGCTCACGCTCACAGAAGAGCCGGCTTTGCAGCAAGAGCTGCTTCCCGGCAGGGAAGGAGGGCCAAAGCAGCTTTGAAGAGAAGTGGGTTTTACCTACTGCACTTGGACCGACAGATCTTTTGCAAACTGGGATTCAAGCCAATTCTCACGAAGCGAGCACACCGTTTTAACAAGGCACATTAGATGCAAACTTGGCCCAAGACCTGTGCCTAGCAGGGAAGAGATGTGCTTTGGAAAGCAGACACAAGATGGCAAGTGGGATGCCAGCGTGCTGCAGCAGCTGCAAGATAGGGACAATCTGGGATTTACAGGCCTTTTGCAGACGCTGAAGCACCAGGAGATGTTACTGTGACACACAGCATTACACAAGCAGCATCGCGCTCAGCTGAGCTTTGCAGAGGATGTTGAGTGGAGGAGATCCCAGGTTAGCTTACAGGAATCATCTGAGGGCTGAAGACTTTGTCCCCCAGGGACTACAGAGCTTTAATCAAGTAACAAAAACTCCCCATGCACAGGCGAGCAAGTTTTCAAGTAACCTGCTAGACTGCAGAGACCGAGGCCAAGCATAAGCTGCCAGTGGCCAGAAGCAGGAACAGCAGCCAGAGCTAAGGAGGGGGAATTCTCCCTCTAGAGTGACCACAGCCGCAGGAGGCTTGCTGGAGGTGGAAGAAGTTCAGTGCCTGGAGCCTGATTTAGGATTGACCACTGTGAGGAGATGCTTCAACACAGACTTAAGGTCTGGATCCCATTACTGAGTGTGTTCTGTAGCTTGTAGTGCACTGGAAGAATGACTAAAGCTGGCTGTGGGTTAATCCTGGATCCTGCTCAGTAGCTGGTTGACAAATGGTGATATAAAAGACTTTGTCTTGCTTCAAAGACTGTTTCCATGCTAAGAGACATCTCCAGCGGTGCTTTCCTTGGCAGACCCACCAGTCTACTTACTTCAAGAACAAACTAATCTCTGGACTGTAGTTAAGGAGCAACTGTAGACCTCGGTTTATGCCGAGAGCTTAACTGAAATTTCAGCTGAATGATTTATACAGAGTACTGTAGATGGCATGAACACTTTGCACCACTGTCACACCTGAAAGCAAGAGACTCGGAGCAGTTCCCTGTTTTGTTCCAGCTGAGGTTCGATGTCAACATGTAAAGTTTAGCTTGTATTAACAACACAGCTGGATCAAGAAGTATCGAACCATTTCTATGACTTTTTCTTCCCCTAGACACCTGCAGTGACAGTGCTTACTTGTGGTCAGTCTTTGTCCACAAGCAGTTAGCTCAGAGAAATCACACTGGCAGAGCTCTGTGCTTCAGAAAAGGGTTTGACAAAAAACGCTGACGCAGCCTTCACTGGAGTGAAACCATTCACAGCCCTGGCTCTTACTTTGTAGTCCACAAAGGAGCACCACACAAAGACAACCTGCTGCCTGCATCTCCAGCTCCCGCTGCCCATGCATGCCAAATAATACAAATTAAAAAAATCCCAAACACTCAGGCACTCACCTCATCGTAGAATATGCAGGCATGTTTGCCAGACACATAGTTACAGTGACCATAGCTTGTAAGGCACACATCCATATCAGCTCCTGTCAATGGGGAGGACAAAACTGGCTCAGTTCATTTCACAGAAAAAAAAAACAAAACAAAACTGTCAGGCAGCAGAGAACAACAGACAGAATTAAACTTCAATTAGCAAAACAACAGGGGAGCAACTGCCTTTGTCCCTGCTCCCAGGACTGCATGAATAATGCTGAGATAAGCCACCAAACAAAGTTTCAGTGGGGGAAGGGAAGGCTAGCAGCTCCATGAAGGCTGAAGAGCATTTCACAGTTACTGGGTCTACCCAGAGTGCCAGAAGAATCTAAACAGAAAGAAATGAAACCTGCAAGCAAACCATAACTCTTCTCTCAAGCAGTCAGGCATTACATCTCCAGGACAGCTGTTCTGCTAATTTTGACACCAGTCAGGTTACAAAGGTGCAACCCCACAAAGAGTCAAGTGGACGTGGAATTTCCACATTTCTTGGTAGCAAAGAATCCCAGTACAGGCAGCCACAGTGAGTCTGTTTTCTTCAACACCCACTTGGCAAACACTTAGGGAAGGTCAGGGAGAACCACCCCGATTCTGAAAGGTCAGGGCAGGAAAAAACTACTCACCTGTCCCAATGTAGAGGGTTCGATAGCACATATTGACTGCACCCCCTAAGCCCATCAGAGGATAGAACACTGCCCGGGCTTGCACTTCCTTTCTTTGCGCTACAAGATAAAAGGAAATTACTTGAGCAACGTTATCAGCTGTGAAGGCTGCTTGACCCCAGTGTCCCCACCACTAGACTCTCCAGAGCACAGATCCTAAGGAGGATGCAGTCAGCTCTAAATTCCAATTCCCAACCCTCTAGGAATGTTTGTGTGTTGAACATCTTTTTGCCAGTCAGAGAACATTGCTCCCTCCAGTA